TGTGGCCAGCCTGGGTGAAAGCACTGATGGCTGTTTGAAGACTGGCCACAGCCCTTTCAGGGTGGAGGGGTCCTGCTGGGGTCTCTGGCCAGCCTGGGTGAGGGGCTGATGGCTGTTTGCAGGCTGCCCAAGCCCCCAGCGGAGACCCTCACCCCATGAGGGTGTGGCCATCCTGGGTGAGGGGCTGATGGCTGTTTGCAGGCTGGCACAGCCCCCAGCCACCCAAGCTTCCAGTGGAGGCTGGCTGGAAGCAGGTATCTGGGATTTATTTAGCTTCTATAATTGAAACTTTGTTGCCTTTTGCAGAGGCCACAGCCAGCCAGAGCAGGCGGGAAGCTTGGCTTCCTCCATCGCCAGTGCAACCAAGCCTCCTGCTTGCTCCAGCTCCGTGGCTGCTGGCCACCATCTTGGTTGGGTTAATTTGCATATAGTCACTCTGATTGGCTGGTGGGCGTGGCTTGGGCGTAGTGAAGGTACGGTCAATTAGCATCTTTGTCTTTTATTAGTGTAGATAGCCAAAAACTGGTAATGACCCATCTGTCCTCAGGGGTTGAATGGTTAACTGTGCTCTATGGAATGCCACTCAGCAAGGAAAAGGAACATGTTATTGACATGTGCAGCAAGTGTCATAAAACTGCATTTTATTGCAAGAACACCACACACACACACACACACACACACACACACACACACTCAGTGGAGTTCATGTGAAACTTATATAATCTGAACAAGGTCAGTGGATGGATTAATGTCAGTAATGGATTACTTAAAAGTTAACTTTGCCAGAAACTGGGTAAAGATATATGGGATCTCTATATTATTTCTTTTTTTAAAATTGATTTTTTTAGAGAGAGATAAAGGGAGAGGGAGGGAGAGAGCCATGCTGGCTGGGCTCTATACTATTTCTCAGAACAGCATGTGAATCTACAGTTCTCTCAAAATAAGAAGGAAAAAACTAGTCTGGCCACTGAGGCTCAGTGGCTGAGCAGTGACCAACCTGTGACCCAGGAGGTCGTGGTTTGATTCCCCATTGCAGGCTTGATCCCCAGTAGGGGGTGTGCAGGAGGCAGCCAATCAAAGATTCTCTCTCATCATTGATGTTTCTATCTTTCCCTCTCCCTTCTTCTCTGAAAACAATAAAAATATTTTTAAAAGGAAAGAACTATTAAAAACACAACAATAACAAGTAGATTATCTAAATAAGATAAGAGCATACACATGTCCCCATATACCTCTATTTCCATGCTCTGCATTCTGCTGTGTGGGTCCAGATTTTCATCTGGGGTCTTTCTGCCTGAAGGATGTCTTCTAACATTGTGTGGAGACTGGATATGCTGGAATTCTTTCAGCTTTTGTATATCTGGAAAAAAAATCTTTATTTTGGTTTTGGTTTTGAAAGATAGTTTTGCTCAAATAGTTTTTTTCTTTCCATACTTTAATGCTGTAGCTCCTCACCAGCCAGTGTGACTCAGTGGTTGAGCACCAACCTGTGAACCAGGAGGTCATGGTTGGATTCCCGGTCAGGGCACATGCCCAGGTTGCAGGCTCAATCCCCATGCAGGAGGCAGCTGATAATGATTCTCTCATTGATGTCTCTCTCTCTCTCTCCCTTCCTCTCTGAAATCAAGAAAATAATTTAAAAATCTCCCAAAACAAAAAGATGTAGCTCCCTTGTCTACTAATTTGCATTATTGCCAATGAGATATATGGCATTATTCTTGTCATTGGTTCTCTGTACATAACTTGTCTTTTCCATTGGGATTTTAATTTTTTTATGTTTGCACACCATAAAATTCACCATTTAAAAATGTATAACTCACTGGTTTTTAGTATATTCACAGGGTTGTGCAATCACCACTACCATCTAGTTCCAGAACAATTTTTATCATCCCAGGTGGAAACCTCATACCCATTAGCCATCACTCTCTATCCCTCTCCCCCAGCCACTGGAAATTGCTCATCGACTTTCTGTCTCTCTGAATTTGCCTATTCTGGACATTTCATAGAAATGGAATCCT